ACGATCCGAATGGATAACGACCAAAATAAAATACCGCAAAATAAAATAAGATCCGAATACTAGAGTCAGTCAGAACGTCGACCTCCCCGCAGGCCGCGGTAGTCTGTACCTATACCTACTTGGAGCCTGGGTACATGTAGTTGTCTAGAAAAGCAAAAACACTGACGTGGAGGGCGTGGGTCCTCCCGGTCTTCCAGGCTAACGAGCATGTCCCGGGTGTCGCCTTCAGTCGTCAAAATTCACCGGAAAGCCAAGTTCGATTACCAAAATTACAAAATGTTCGATGATCGTCGGCTCCAACCGAACGTCCTTGTCTAAAAATGGTCCCAAATGGATCATCTCGATGTCTGATCCTCCGTACGTACGCTGAGTGTCGAAATGCAGATAGCAACATGTGCAGTGCTCGGTCGGGCACAGCCTTGGCCAAGTCGGCCAGGGCACCGAGAGAGACCTCCGTGGGATATCCCCGGAGGTCTGCTTCGCAAATCGTGAAGCCTATGGCACCTACTACCAGTTGCTTGTTTTTGGAGTGGTCCGAAAGTCTCCTGATCGTCGTAGATAAAACTATTTTCTTCATGCTCTTCGTTGAGTAGGAATGGTAGTCTTGGATCGTCTGAAAATTTAGTCTCTCTTCCTTGTAGAGCGACTCGGTGTTCTTCGTAGCCGGCACAAAATGCAATTGTAACGGGTTTGTGTTGATTAACATGAGCCCCCCGAAAAAATCCAATGTCAACCCGCAATCGTCCTTCCAGACCACCTCGAGATTCTCATCATAGATTCTCTCAAATCGTTTAAATATCTCTTCGTTGCCTCGGTCGTTGCTTCGATAAAACTCCAATCACCTCCCAAACTTCTGATAAACTGCAGTTCTTCCATGGCACACGTAATCGAAGCTAAAATAGGACTCATCGATTTCCCCATAGGGATGCCGAAAAACTTGTTTCACTGGTTTAGACCCGCAACGTACCACCAAGTGAGTCAGTTCGTATTCGACTGCTCTCCGCAACATGATAAGAGAGATGCTAATGTATACTTCCATCTTTCTCCTATTGCTGCTAATCACGCACAACTTCCCTCTAATGGATACTCTTACTTGTCGACAGCCTTCAACTTCGTATCTTCGGAGAAGTGAATTAATGGCTCCGAGAACTCCGAATGCGGAATCCACGAGAACATGTCCTTTATATTGTAACATCTTCCGACGACGTTATCGCATCCGCCCGTTCTCAGCTTAACCGTTGTAGCATCTAGACGTTCAGCCAGTTCGAAAACGGAGTTGAGGTAGAAGGTGCAGTTCGCGGTTAATCTGAGTAGCAGACAGTTGCCCGTGCTGCCCGCCGTTGTGCGAGTGCTGCCGGGTCCGCTGGCGTAGGCGCGATGGGTCTCCACCGAGTAAGATCCTTATGCTTCGGTATAACATAGGCCGTACTGAACCGGTCGTCCGGTCTCCAATTTTCGATTGTGTGCAGTCTTCTGTCAATGAAGTCCTCCTTGTTCACTTTCATAATCTCACCCTCCGCATCCACCTCACCAACTTGTTCATAGTTAGCATTCCACGAAAAGGTCTTCCCGAATCCATGACGATAAAGCATTGGACACATAACGGTTGTGTCTCCTTGGTTCCGGTCGATGGGAGTAAGGACCAGCCCTCTAAACTTCGAAGCCCATTCACAAACTTCGGGATCCGTCCATGCAGGGTTGTCGGAAGCCCGATCCACCCCCACCTCCTCGCGTACGACCCTCGATAAAGGTGCTTGTTTTAAGTGTTTCGTGGCTTCCCGGATTGCGCAGCTAACAGTCCTTTCCATTACAGTATCAGCTGGTTTTGCAATGTTTTTCGAGTTCTTCACAAAATGTGGTATTTCGAGATCTGCAAAACGGGTTAGTACGTGTCCGTCATATTTAGGGAAACTTAACTCCCTGCAAGGACATTCTTGTTCTTGTTCAAAAGCGTAAACTTTCTGGTTGTGTATGATCTCAGTTACATTCCAGTTGTGAATCCAAATGATCCGTAACCGGGTTTGTACAAATAGCGCAAGCTCCCTATCTTCGACAGCGGCCTCAATCACCCGTCCTGCGGCTTCTCTCACCCCCTTCTTCTTAATCCATGAATCGAAAGGTAGTTTTATGCAAATTCTCCTTCTCACGCTAACGCCGGTTTTCCTGCTAATCACTCTATCCAACTTCGTGCATAATTTGTGTTTCGTCTGTTTCTCCGAGAAGAGTCTCGCTGTCTTATATAATCCAATCAGTTTTCTAGTAGGAAAAGATATCAGTCTAGAGTCAGGTTTCGGTCGGCGAAGAGTGTGGTCAGAAAAGCCCTATTTCGCTCGGTAACTGACTTAGACTTAACAATCTTTCTGATGCGGACTTCCCCTCCCAGGTGAAGTGCCAGTTTTGCCTTTCCTAGTCAGACTGTCTTTCCGTCTATTTGCAGTTCTGTATCACCCAAAATTCGTTTTAACCTCCTCCACCCATCCAACCAGATAGTACCTACCGTACATCTAACAGTGAATGGTTCTTCGCCGATGTGTTGTTCGAGCCACCGCTGGAGCGAAGCATATTCAACCTCGTGTGCTCGAAACATAACCGTCTTTCCTGTGTGCAAACTGTGGGCTCTACCTCTTCGTTCACGTCTCCGCCTCCTCCGCCTCTTCGTACGAAACCTCTCCTTTTTACCTACCTCCCGCGTATTAAGACACGGGTTAAAATCGGCAATAAGATGTTGCTCGTAGACGAAGTCGTCCTCACCATTCGCATGTCGAATGGGGAAAATCACGTACTTGTCTAACCCGAATTTCCTCAGCCATTGGTACAGATGGGGAGCTTGACCGAGTGACTCATTCCGAGCGTTTCTACAGTGTTCTCTCCACCTCTGGATCATTGGACGAAGAGTACAACCGACGTACAATTTCTTCGTCCATGGACTGACGACCACATACACTCCACCCGACTCCAGGCTAAGCAAACTAACGAGGTCTTGTGTCTTACCCAGGTACTTCTCAAGCCATGGGATCTGACTCCCCGCAACTAGTAGAGCAGTAGTGGTACTAATAACACATTTAACCTTCCTACTAACCTCCCCGGTAATATCCTGCCCCCGCAGGACTGACCTCTGGCGTAACCAATAATTAAGCGTATCCCAGAGAATCGTGTTCGTAGGGGCGTCTCGCCGTCAGTCGGAGTCCTCAGCAGGTTGATACGGAGCTGAACGGATAATAACCGGTACTTGCCGAGTAAGCCTCTCCGTCGTGATCTTCTCCTTCGCGAACTCCTTCCGTGGTGAGCCGGAGGCCTTGGTCTTCATGGATGACTTACCCTGAGTGTTCTCCGCTTCTTCAAAACCGTCATAGGCAAGCTGAACTTGATGTCTGGCTAAGATCTCCACCACCTCCGGTTTCTTTGTGTATTTTATCCCTTTCCTCTCATAGATCCTCCTCAAAGCATCCGCCTTCTTAGCTGAATAAATCTTGTGTGCCGAGATGCAGTAGTCGATTAACCCCCTTTGTGAGCAACCAGCTATCAGACCCTTGTGTCCGCCGGTAAGTGGTGTAGCAGGTTTTGTTTCCTCATCATCCGTTTTCCCCGTATTTACGTTACCTCCAGACGGGCCGGTCTTCCGTGGTCTCAAAGTCTCCCCTCTCTCGTACACCCTCTGTGGTGTGGCTTCAGCCGTAGTTTCACCCTTTTCCTCCCGGCATCTGGCTTTCCCCTTCATGGTGCCAGATTTACGTCGTCCCCCGGGCCTGGTGCGTGACCGTGGTTGATTGGAATCCGTACCTGGTGAAGAGCTGTCGCTTTCGTTCGACGAGATCCCAGATCCTGTCTCGTCCGTCGACATGATGTGTCTAGTTCTACGTCAGCCCCTCCTTCTCTTTCCCTTGCGTTGCTTGTCCTTCTTCTTCTTCCTCTAGTTTCCCGCTGTATTTCCGATTGCTTTCCCGGCTTCGGCCTGGTTTTTCCTCCATTCCTCCACCAATTCGGCTCGAAGCTGTAGTTTAAATTCTTTGGCTTTTCTGGCGAAATCTTGGTTGCGCCTGATCTCCTCCTCCTCCCTCGCTTTTCTCTCTTCTTCTTGTCTCCTCTTCTCCTCTAATTCGATCTTCTCCTTACGCGCAATCCTGAACTGTTCCTTTATCTCCTCTAGCTCCGGGTCAATCTGCGGAGCACCGAAACTCTGCCCTCTCTTAGCCCTGCAGTCGCGAGCGAAGTGCCCGACTTTCCCACAGTTGTAACATTCTTTGCCTCCACCCCCCGCACCATTACTCCCTCCCCCGACATAGCCGTTGTTGCTGAAAACTTGCCCCGTCCCCAGGTTTTGCCCCGCGTTCGCCCCGTTCCCATACCCGCCCCCTCCAGGACCATTAGTCAGAAACATGTTGATAAGAAATCGTCCTTTTGTAAACTAGTCTCGCTCCTCTTCTTAGTCTAGAGGGTTTATAAGTACAAAGTTGATCTATTCATTCAGTTACTCTCTCCAAATGTCTACAATTTCGCGGTATCGCATTCTTCTCCTAGTCCTTAATGCTAGTAGCGTTGTCTCAATCTTAATCAGGAGGCTCATTAAGCAGTCGTATAGCCCGTTTCTCAACGTTTCGTCCCTCACATACCCAATCATGAAGTGCATCGGCTGAATGGTGTTCCTAACGTAGTCTTCGAGTGCTTATATCAGCCGTGCGCGGACAGTAATCCGTCGTCTGACTAATATGCATGTCCCGTTACAGTTGGCACCGCATCTAGTGCAATCGATCGGCATACTGTCAGAGTGATATCCCGACAACGATCACGCCAATCCCCAGAAGAATAACCCCAATCCCGAACAGCAAAGTCCTAATCTCCAACGTCTTTCTCCTCATTATCGTTCCAATCACCCACTACCGCCTAATCTGGAAAACTCATCCTCTGCGTACTGGCCCACCTCCCGCACGAAAATCTTCACTGCACTCAATCACACCTTATTCACGTGAAGGCCTTTCCCGCGTGTCGACACAGCCACCGCCCAGCGCAGAACATCTGCCAGTTACTACGTGCCTCAGAGTAGGTGAACTGCGGCTAAACAGTCCGTGCAGCCATAGCCATGAGAACTCTGACACGAAGCACAATCGAAATGGAGCACACCAAGAGGTAGCCCGGATAACTCAAACATGAAGCACACTCGTAAGATAGAGTAACTCAAGCTCACATAAACTGCAAAAGGAGCAAAACARTTCATAGCACATGCGGTCCCTCGACCGGTTTCGCCCGTCCGCACGGGCCTCATTAGGAGGGTGACTTGAAAAGAGTCTTCGCGCTCAACCTCAAGCTCGCAAAAGGGAGACTAAAGCCGTGTCTGCCGTATTTAACGTCGTCCCCGCGGCCACTTCCCCCTCGGCCAACGTGAGTATCTTCG